CAAGAACTTCCATTCTTACAAAATGTTCAAGAAAAAGATTGGAAAATGAAAATTGATTAAAAATTGAATTTCCCATAAAATGAATTCCAACGGCAATTCAACATGGAAGATTCAGACTTATGCAGTTACCTGATAGTTTTCAATTGACATGGCATTGTCATTATTCAACATCGACATGGAACTCAAGAAAAGAGATAAAAATTGACTCTGAGTTTCTTATAATTCTAATGATTGAGACAAGAAGAGGATAACGATGATGATGGTTATAATGACATGTGAAACTCAACGAAAAGAAAGAAGGAGGAAGAGAAGAAGAAGAAGAAGAAAACATTCAAATGGTTTTTAAAATTATCTAAATTCCTGGAGAAGTGTTACTTGAGGCTCTGTTTTTTTACTCCATCATCATCATCATCATAATCTGTTTCTTTCTTCATCTTCTTTACCTGACTTTTGTGTGTTGATATTTCATTTGTTAACAAAATTGCTACTGGTTTTCCTTAATTCCCACTTCTCAATGATTATTCATTTGCTCCAAAAAGTTGAAATTGTTCAGTCAAACCAAGTGTTTAAGAAAGCTCTTGAGGCGATGCTTCAATCATATAAAAAAATATAATACTAATAATAAACAAAAAGGTAAACTGAAGACAAAAAAACAAAATCAACTTTGCAACTTTATTCTTATAATTTTATCGTCATAATAATAATTATTATTACTATTCAATAAAGCGTTTTATTACTATCTATTAATGTAATCATCATGTTAATGATAAATGAACATATCTGATTCCATTGAATTTCATTAATAAAAAAAGACAACTTGTTCTTCATTCATTAGTGAAACAAAAGTTGTTTTCAACCAATCATTAAACTTGATTGATTGAAGTTGTAATATCAATTTTACAATATAATTAAACAAATTTCTCAACATCAAACTGTGAATGTGAATGAAAATTCATATTGTCACTGGCGAGTCAATGAAAAACGTGGCAAAAAGAGTAAAGAAGAAAAAAAGAAAAACTATTTTTTTTCTCTCTTTTCTCTGCCAATAATTGATTGATGATGATATTGTTAAACAATTGATAATGCATTTGGCAATGTCGACATTGTCAATGTAACAATGAGCCCATTTATCAGGTAAAAACAAAGTCTACAGGAGAAGAGAGAGAAGAAGCAAAAAATCAAAATGAACGGAAACGATGATTATCAGTATTCAGTGAATCAACATTGATTGACTTTCAACAAGGTTCACCAACAATTGATCAAAGGTAAAACCTCAAACAATGCAAAACAGCAGCAAAAAAGGTTGAGCTAAATGAATCCATAAATCACTGAATTTCATGATTTACTAAAGATGAAAATGATTTACAGTTAAAATGAAAAGTTTCAATCGAACCTTGAAAGAGGATTTAAATGTTGATCGTTACAAGCTTATTGCCGAGTTACAGAAAGTTTCTCACACAGGTAAACACTGTTTACATGAAACAAAAGCTTAACATGCAGTAGTGGGTGGATTAAACAAGGTAAATTAATAACTCAGAGAGGGTAAGATGAGCCTCCCATGGCGAACCTTTTAACTTCATTTTTTCCCTCTTCTTTCATCTCGACATGATGATATCATTATGTATCAATGTCTTTATGTTACCTTCTTTCAACGGCAAATGGCCTTTTCCACGCCTTGATTAATGTCTTCGGGTGACATTTATTTTGAGTCTTATTTCCGTTTGCCATTTCTTTTCTGATCAAATCTTTTTTGTAACTTGTGTTCATCTTATTTGTTTTCCTGTTTTCATCTCAACTCCTTTTGTGATTCAGTGAAGGTGATAAATTGGGTTTTAATGTTAACTTTTCAAGTTCAATTTTTAGTTAAGATTTGAGCTCATTTTGGCCCCTTTCTGTTTCTCTAGTTTTGTTGCTTTTCTTTGTGTTACTATTTTGCTTCGTTTTGGGTTAATTTAATTGAGATTAACACATTTTAATGGTTCAACATTTTTTTTCTTGTCTAACTCATTGTTGATATTTGTTGGGTAAAGCAACATGAGCAAACAATGTTCACTCGATACCTTTGAATGCACCAATGATGTTACTGTTTAGGCTTTATTCATTTGCTCATGACAATTGCTCGATTATCATTGGTGTTGTATCATGTTTGTTGCTATTTAAAGTGCTTATCAATTTAATGTGTTACAGGGTTGAGATGATAATTGTTCAGCAAACATTAACTCTTTGTTGATTCAAAAAGTAAATAGTCTGTATTTGAATCAATTGTCAACTTGTAACAATTGTCTAACTTTGTCTTTTCATTGTTGGAGATAATTGGTTAAATTGTACTTTAAAAGCGTTTAAATTTGTCAAAAATTTCACACAAAATTGATTTGTCAAAGAAAAAATTTCTTCATTTCCAATCAATTCGTCGAATTTAAATGTAGCGCCATTGAGTTCAAAATGGGTAACAGTTGCTTTCCCGTTTTAATCATCTGTTTAAGATCATTTCAAACATCAGGTTGACCCAAACAAAAGACAAAAAAACTTGATTTTGAACAATTTTCTGATCGAGTTTGATCGAATGATCTTTTCGCTTATAACGGCTCATCTAGTTTACACATTGACCTATGCAAGGTTGGAAAAAGGTATCTAGACTGAAATCTATCATCTGATCAGAACGAATTCACTTGTTTAGCCTCTGAACTTTCAGTAAATTATTCAACTCAATTAATATAATAAACAATTAAAATGTAATTGCAAATGTAAGTGGCAAAGATTACATCGAAACAAGATTCATTGTTTTTACAATTACAGAAACAATTTACCACTTTAATTTGATTTTAACCAACCTTCACTGAATTTCACTGGTTTATGAAAACCTTTCAATTGTGTCTCTATTTCATGTTCAACTGAAGACTACTTTATATGCTGTGAATGTACATCTTAACTCATTTTAGGTCTTAATGAATGACTTTTATTACTACTAAAGGAGCAATCTAATGTTGGAAAGTAACGTTATAATTGAACCTTTTTTACATGTTTGTGGTTCTTTACAGCCCAACCTAAGCTGAATATTGAACATATTTTCACCATTTGATTGTCCCTTTACAAAAGACTAAAATTTATCGTCACACGTTTTTGTCTCGAAGTATTATCAACCTTTGTTGCTAACCATGTTTGTGATTGATATTGAAGTGCAAGTTGAGCAAAAGGCAAAAACAAAGTGTAATTGCTGTAAGTGTAAAAAAGCTCGGAAAAGGCAAGAAAAAAGATGAAACACAAATCTCAGGTCAACCATTATAATGACAACATGAACCAAAATTACAACATTATCATTATCAAAATGAGCATATTAATTTACAGAGGAAAACGGAAAGTGATTTAAATGTCTTTGTCTCCCTCTGACTCTGTATGGTGTTTCAAAGTGAATGTAAACTGTAATTAAGGGTAAAGATATTCAAGGTTTCCCTTAATATCGTGTAAGAAGCGTAAAACTAGCGAATTGTATCAATTATCCAAAGAAGAAGAAGAAGAAGAAAAAGTCTTGCATTTTCTTCACCTCAACTTATCTTCTTGATGATGAAAAAAAAGTCAGGTAAGTTGAGACAAGTTGAGAAGAAAAGTGAAAGAGAAAAGGCGTTTCAACGTGCCAATGTAAAGCGACTTTAAGCTTAGCTTTCTAATGAATTAGGGGAGGTTTGGAATGATGAAAGATGATGAGGTAAATTGAATCGTGATTACATGAAGAGGCAAGTGAAGCTTTTGGTCCGCATTTCAAGGTATTGCCATTTGTCGTGCTAATTGTTTTCCCTTCTTCTTCTTCAGAGGAAAGTCAACCTTCATGGACACTGTCAGCTTCCAGTTTTAACTGTTAATGACATGTTAGTGACTCTGTGAAAGTTCAACTCTAAAATCATTGACAAAGTTAAGAGCAAACTTATTGATCATTGAAACGTTGCAACTTGGTCAATGCGCATTAAGATTGAAACAAAATCTTTTCTTTGATTAGCTTTTCAATGTAAATTATATTTACTCTGATTGATCAAGATTAATTGTTGCACTAATATTGACTTAAGTTTACCTTTTTGCTGGTTCAACAAACAATCTGAAAACAAATGTTAAATGAAAAACTAATTTGAAAAGTTGATACAAATGATGAATTAATAGGTTTATTGAGTTGTTTATTGTTGTCTTTAAGTTATTGATGCTTATTGAGCTTCATGTTAACCGTTTACCTTTGACTTGAAGGTTAGATCATTTGACAGTGATGGGAATGATAACAATGGGAAGAAGCAACAATATCAATTGGCTTTGAGCAATTTAACCAAACTCATCTATCAGTTGAGGGATGAACATGATAATGATGATGAAGGAGGAAAAGTGAGAAACACCGGTTGACGGGTAAATTAACAGTTCATCATATTCATCATGAGTGTTGTGCTAACAAGGAAAATCTTTTTTTTTCTTCTTGTTCTTCTCTTTTTTTCTCATCTCAAATGTTAACAGGAAGATGTTATTTGTTTCTTACCTCAGTATGAAGTTGATATTGATAATAAAGTAACAATACAAAAAGATGATAATAACAAGATGAATTGATGTGATTGTTTCAAGAAGATGATGAATCTTGCACTCAATTAACTTTCTACTTTTCCTTTTCTTGTTCACTCCTTGTTATCCATTTTGATGGATAACATGAGCTTCTTCATTTTTTTTCCTCTTGTTCATCATCTTCATTGGCTACATTGATAAAGAGTTTTTCAACCTTTTTTCGCGTTTCTCTGTTTATATTTGTGTGTTAAAGATTTAAACTGAAGGCTGAAATTGACTGATTAGGAGTGAAATATATTAGCCGATTAAAGGTTGAAATGAAGAGGAGGAGAGAGAAGCAAAGTTTTGGCGAAAAGGTAAAACCAATAATTGCTTTTGACTTGTCGTTTGTTTCTTGCTACTTCATTAACTGATTGATTGATTGAGTTTTGCGGGCCAATTTAGAGGTTAAAGTTAAACGAAAAGCTTACCTTCATTGACGAGTCTTTCTCTAATTTCCCATGCAAATATCGTTGGATTTTCTCGCTTGTACTGCTCAATTTTACTCACAACCAGCGGAGTTGCTACTTTGGGCTTGGAGCCGCCAATAACGGATGAATGTGGTGGAGCACGGAACAACCAGCCAAGATTACCATCGTAATAAAGTCCTTAAACGAGAAAAAGTAAAATCACAATTAACGCCGATTCGAATACATTGTTATCAAATCAGAAATAAAAATCTTAAAATCCCATTTTCTCATCTTTACTTTTTCCAAAATCGCGATTTCGATTGTTTTCATTGTCAGAGATTTACTTTCAATGATGGACAAAATGGTTTGTTGATTCAAATCACCTTTCAACTTGGCTATTGTAAAACCAAGAATCTTGAATCGAAATGCAAGATTCGAGATTTCGATCATTTTCATTGTCGAAAATTAATTTTGCAAAAAATGAACAAAGTTTTCTTTCATTTAACCTTCTGCGAGTCGACTTTTGCCTTTTGCAACTCATCAAAGTTGGAATTTACTTTTTTAGCTGTCGCTTAACTAGAATTCACGATTCGATATTTCGATGATTTTCGTTGTCGAAGATTTACTTTTTCAATATTCAGCAAAAATTTGATTTCTTGAAACTCTTTTAATGGGACTTTTGGCTTTTGAAACTCATCGGAATTGAAACGTTTCCATAAAATAATTGAAATACTTTACTTTTGGTTTTAATCTTTTCTCGACCATTTCCATCATTTGATAAAACAAATGAATGGCATTTCACATCAATTACAGTTGATGAGAAGAATGATGAAAATATGAAAAAAAACTCGTTGAAAAGTTAATAAGATCACGCCTATTGACATAGGTCATGTAATCGGCTCATTAATCATTGTAACACCTTAAGCTGTTTCATCAAGTTATGTCTTTGAGTTTTGTTTCCCTTTTGGTTCATCCAACTAACATTGTCTTTAGATGCTCCTCAATCCTCGATAAAGCAAACAAGAAAACAATAAAACTAAATTGATCTGAAAACAGTAAACAAGGAATCACCTTTTTCAACACTTGAGATTATCTTTTGGCCACTTAATACTTTCAACAACTTTTTTCACTCCCAATGTAATTATACTTTAGTTACCGGTTTACATTGTTTTTGTTTAAAAGTAATTAACTCGCCATTTCATGTAACCATTTGATGCATTTCAAGATCAATCATCTAATGGACTTGATGAAAGGATATTAAAATGTTTTCGTCTTTTCACTTTCACCATTTATTGGTTGATTAATTTTTCCATGTTTACCATTATAATATGATAATTGTGACTCCTCTTCACTGTTGCTATAATTATTACAATTACACCAATTATTACAGGTAAAGTGTTGATTAAGTTGACTAGGTAAAGATGGAAACTCAAAGTAAAGAGAAGAAGAAACTTTTGAAAGTAAATTTTTCGCATAATTTGATCATTTAATTGATGCTTCAAGTTTACTTTGCATATTTTGCCTTCAACATTTGTCAATATTACCTTAATAATTATCATTAGACGAAAAAAAAGTAAAACGATTAGAAGTTATGATCAACTGAGAAAAGGTGGGAGGATGGAAAGGTGTTGTTGATGATGATCATCATGATGATCACCTTCAACATCACCTGGTATGAAGAGGGTAAAGAAGGTAAAGAAGAAGAAAAAGTCAAAAAAGAAGGTAAAATGTGGCAAAATGAGGAGGAGGCTGATGATGATGAGGAGGTTAGTGCTGGTGGTTTGAGGTCACAGGTAGACCAAGAGTGAGACAATGAGAGAGGAAGGTAGTGTTTCATGGAAGCTCGCATAACCACTTTAGACAATTGTTCATCTAAGTGTTCATCTTGTAGACACACCAAGTCACATCGTCTACCATCATCATCATCATCATCATCATCCGAAACAAAAAATGAGCACAAAATTTTTTTCTCTCTCTTTTCTCAATTTTCTCGCAAAAAGCCCAAAAAATAGACTTTTTTAGTTTATGCTCAAACAAAAGCTAAACCAACCTATAACATTGCACACAATTGCAGTGACAATGAGCGTCCATTTGATCATCATCATCATTACCATTATTAAGAGTAGTCATGCTAATAACCGGAAACAGGTGACATGTTCAATTTCCTTTCACAGTTACCTTTCTGTTATCCTTTATTGATTGTAAGGTGTTATTAAATAATCTGTATTATTACTGGTTGCCTCAATATTCATATTAATAACTAATTTGCTTTTTTTCGCTCTTTTTACATTCGTTTTGTTTTTCCGTTTCAACTAATGATGATGATGGACGCATTCATTGTTTTTTTCGAGTTTACATTATTAAAGGTTTTCACTCACTTTGATTGCTATGATTATTGTTGTTGCCGTTGTTGATGTTGTTGGCGGTTGTGCTGCTGTTGCTTGTGTTGCTGGTGTTGGTACTTGTGTTGCTTGTCGTGTTATTGTTGCTTTTTGATATTAATCCATCAATATTGAACTTTATCTTTTCCTCTGAACAAATTGTTGATGTTGAAGATGAACGATTGTTAGTCCTTAAATCCATTGCTCAAGTTGAATTGTTGATTGGGCAAAGTGTCGATGGCAAGAGTAGAGTTGGAAAAGGGTTTAACAACACAAAACTAATCACTTTGAAAAAATTTGACATTTGAAGGTTAGTCTTACATGTATTTTTGTTGTTGCGTTTGTTGGCCTTTTTTTCACCTTAATTTTTTTGCTCTTCACTGCTTCTCAAGTGGTTTAACACAAATTTGTGTTCAAATGTTCAAACTTGATTCAAACTTGAAGTGAGCAAAAGTAAACTTGTCAGCAGATAATTGGTAACTTAATGTGATTGGTTACTTTTACCTGGAAAAAGGTACGCCTTAATGTTTATCCATGATTGGCTGAGGCTGGTTCAACATGTTTACGCCTGTTTCGCACAGAGTGTTGCCTTCAAAAAGGAGGAGTAAAGGAAAGGTAAATGCAATAAAGGTGGATGACAGGGAAAGAAGAAGATGGTAAAGGTTGATATCTGTTGACCAACCATTTGATAAATCACAATCTTATTGATTTCCCTTTGCATTTAAATTAACTCTTGAGCTGCTCTTTTCACCAAATTTAATAACAACATTAATGACTCCAATGATATATTTCAATTCATTTTGTTGTTCAGACAACACTCAATTTTATTCTTTCTTTTCCTTTTCTCTTCTTCTTCTTCTTCTTCTTCTGTCAATTTGATTCAATGTTGACTGCTTATTACATTTAAACTTTTCTCGTTCATTTGTTGATACATTGGTTATTAGCAGATAACAAGGTTTATCTTGTAAACATTATCATTTTCAATGAGATGAAAACTGACTGGGAGTGAAAGCAATAAAGAGAATAAAAAATGGAGAATAATGTTTGTCATGAAAATATGTAATTATCTTGTATAGTTAACATAATCAGATTGTTGACAAAATTATACTTCAAACTTTTTCCAGACTATTATTAGTTGGCCTTGTTGACCGCTTCATTATCGCTTGGACACTTTTCCTTCTCTTGTCAGTTTTCACCTTTTACCTGGAAAAGGTTGATAATCAATCATTGAAAGGAATTGAATGTAACAAATCAAATTAACAATTCAAGGTGAAATTGGAAGTTCCTTTTGTCTTGTTTTTGTGTCTTTTTGTTTAATTTGGTTGAATAAGAGAAGTTTTTTCAATGGAAAATGAAATTTTGTGAAAATTGCGTCCTCTTCTCATGTGGCGATGAACGATAAAAACAATGAGTAATTAAGTGTGTTTGTTTGTGAAAATTGATGGATAATGATTAAAGAGAGAAGGAAAATGTCGCTTCATCGGGCAAAAGTGGGTGGTGGGAATGAGGCTCAATGAGGAAGGTTAATGAAAACGGAAATTGATTCCAATAGTTGTTTGTCTTTTATCAATGGTAAAGGGATCAACTTAGAGTCTTACCTTGCTCTGTCCCTTTGACAGTTCAATTGACATAAACATAATTCATTTAAACTGTTTTATTGTTTCCATTGGAGTAAACTTCCTTGATTCAAGAGATTAATATCATTATTCATTTCAAGCCAAACATCATTATCATTCTCATTGTCTCTTCTCCATTTTTTTCTTCATCATCCTCTGTTTGTCTCCATCAACTGATCATTAAAACACCTTCTATATCGGCATCCAGTTTCCAGTAAAGTCGCCCCTCAAGCGCAAGGAATAACCTCAAGTTTACAAGTTTAGGCTGGCGTTTTACTGATGGTTTAACTTGAATGACTTTTGCGCTTTTGTTCAGCAAAAGGGGCAAAATTTTATTATTAAAGTTAATAAACTCTTGATTTAGTTTATGAATCTTATCAATTTTATCATTTTGCATTTACTTTATTAATAGTTACTGCGCAAAAAAGGCGAGGGTTAAAACTTGCAATGAACAGTTGCTGGAAATGAAAAATTGAAGTTTTTCTTTTCGAGTTTTTTTTCGTTTGGTCTTGAGTAGGATGCCATGATCAGATAGCAGATGAGCTCAACTGATATAATCCGATATAAGCTGGGCAAGATACAAGATGTCCAACAGAGTTGAGTTTTGGATAAATTGAAAAGTTGCAAATTTGACTTTCGCTTGGCCAGAACCATCTTATGGTTAAAAACAATTTTTTTGTCTCTGAATATTTCGAGCTGTTCCTCTGTGAAATTGGTAAAGATTGAGCAAATCTGATGATTTCTCCGCCTTTGTCGATAAAAATTTGCTATTTCAACTTGTAAATGGAGAAAACTGGAAAATCTATAAAATTAAAAAGCATGTTCATTCATAAATGGCCATCATGATGCATATTATTTTGATTCTTTTTCGAGTAAATTGATTAGCAGCAAAAATTTCAGAATATTTCCTCAACCTTTTCTGGTTCTAAGCTAATTTAGTAATGAAACAAAAAAGAACCAATAATTTGTCTCGTTATACACTTTACACTTTGATTAAACTTAAACAATGTTTCTGAACAATTCAGGTTTTTTTTGTGCAAATAGAAGGATAATTAATTTGTTAACTCAATTGATCTTTCTTGATCCATCGTCCATTTGATCGTAATTTAACTGATAGAAAATTTATTTTCAATAACATGTAAGTTCGAGAAGTAATTTCATGCTTTCATTTCGAGGCAATCTCAGCTTTTGACTTTACCCAGCATCATGACTTTGAATATTCAGGTAACAACTTAAAACTGAAAAACAGAGTCAAAGTTTTTGAAATGGCGAATCATTAAACAATCTTAATATTAGTCCAAAATATTGGTCAAAAACCTGAAAGAATGGAACATCAAAATCAAGATTGGTCAGATCAAGATATTAAATGATACATCACATCGACTGAAATGGTCAATAAAATGGAAAATAATTTTCCATTAAACAAATTGTTTATTGTAAAACAATCGACATCACCAAATGTAAATTTTCAACAAAAGACTCGGCTAATCAATTTTGAGCTTTTATCATTTCCCAAATTGACTGTGAATATTACCAAGCAATTAAATGGGCGAAAACTGTAATGCTACCGATAATTAGTGAAATAATGGCGGAGCAAAATGTTGTCCATTGAATTTTAATAAGTGGGACACCAACATAAACCGTTGTAGAGTATAATTTTTGGTCAATCACTTTTCTTGTAATGTTACTTGAAAATCTGGTCAAATGTTACCTTTACGCTTTCACAGCAAGATAAATGGATTTTTAAACTCTACCTAACAGTTGCGATTATCACAGTTAGTTAACATTTTTGTTTTACCTGAATAAACCTTCTGTTTACCACTAATATCATTATGATGATGCACTTATAATAACAATCATCATCCTTCTCATCATCATTAGTTTTCATCCTAGAAATGAGTGTAAAAGTGAGAAAAGAGAAAAAGGAAAACGAAAAGAAAACGAAAAAATGGAAAAAGTAATAATTTAAACTCCATAGACAAGTGAAGCCACATTTATCAGTATATTTGTCTTCCTCTTTTGTCTTAAAGAGACAGTGAGTGAGTGCAAGAGGATAACCACCCTTGGTGTTGAGAGGTGGACCTCTTGGGATGAAGATGAAGATGATGGTGATGATGAAAAGGAAAAGAAACATTTTTCAAGTAAGTCAAAGTTATTGACACTGATAAATGTCGACAACAAATTAAGGGTAAACCGGATTTCACCTTATTGCCTTGAGGTGAAAACAAAAGGTAGAAAAACAATAATCAGTGGAAAAAGGTAAGAAAGGTAAGAAAGGTAAAAGATGGAGTGGACAAAATGTTACACTTTTGACCATTCAAATTTAATAACAATAATGACATTAAAAATAAGTTAATAACAATAATCCAAATTGCTTTAAATCTCGTGAGAATCCTAATTGTTTTCCTGTCAACTTTAATCAGTAAAAATAATACAATCTTTAATTAACTTTGCAACTCCAGTGAGACTTTCAACAAAAAATTTCCATTTCCATCTCAATATTTCATGACACCCAATCAATGAAAAGAAGCAAAAGAAAATTGATTTTTTCAAACTTCATTTCAACTGAAGAGTTGATGAAAGTTACAAGTCAATTAGAGTAATCAAAGTATTATCGCAACATTTATTGGAAAATGAAATTGTCTTTAAAAGTGGAAATTCATTTTCGAGTAAAGATGAACATTTCATGGTTAACAAGTCATTATGAATTGCGTAAAGCGTAATAACAGTGTTGGACAAGATTCGTTGTTTGAGCAAAACTCAGCTTCATGTTTGGACAAGAAGGAAAAGATTGCGTGCCAACGATCCAATGCAAGTGGCAATCCATTTTAGGTGAAATAAATTAGCTGTCATTTTAATTTTTGGTCAGCATTTGAGACGCAAGTTGAAAGGCAATAATCTTAAAAATGGAAGTTTGTTGAACATTTACTTTAGCGCGTTAAGTTGATAATAGATAATCAATGGATTGAACTTGGCTATCAAGTGTTAAAGGTTAATTAACATTTTGAGCTTTTGTTTTGCTCTTGAAGGCTTCAAGAAAGTTGATTAAGATGATTTCATTTGTACAGTTTATGTCATGCAATGCGTCTCATGATGATTCTCATCAGTATTTTTAGCATTAATAAACTGATTGATGATGTTGTTTTGGTGTAAAGCAAATTATTGATCATCTCAAGATTGATCTAAATGATGACCAGTTAAACTGTTCAAATGTTGAAAATTATATATTGTTTGACTTTTGAATTGCTTTTTGTTTCGCCATCGTTTGTGCTAATATTTGCAATCAAACCGTTTTTACCTGCAATTGCATGATTAACAAATGATTGCCAATTGATTTAGGTTTCAAGTTGATGAAAGATCAACTTTTATTTCACCTTTTTTCAATCCGATTTCAATTTTGTAATTCACCAAAGACCAGTAAAGACAACTGTCTGTAATCCCATCAAAAGGATAACAATCAAAATAATACATTTCAATGTTAACATTTTCCAGTCAACAATTTCCTTAATCATCTTCATCGTTCCTTTCATCATGCAACTTCACATGAACAATGAAAAATCACTTTTTTCCACATTCTTACCTTAACTCAATTTCATTGATACTAATCAATCAAAAGTTAAATTTCTAGTCAAATGAGTTTTAATGTTTTCCATTCTCAATCATTGATTTGATTAGAATCAAGTTTAATGGCGTTTTTCGTTTAACAACATTTTTGTGATTAACATTGACAATGTGTTAATCTGTGTCAACAAATCAATCAAAAATGAACAATTGAACAGAAAAAACAAAAGTTGCAAAAATGCAATTAACTTGGACTAATTTGATTCGCTTATTGAAAGATGATTGGAAAAAAGGTAAAAAAGATTGAATAATTGCAAGATTTGCTGTTGAGTAAAGAGTTGAGAGAATCAACTTTTCTTTGCTTCTTCACCTCAACTCCACCTTTTCTTAGGACCCTTAATTTCCACCCTGGATTCCTTGTTTGGCTAATTACCTCAAAGGTAATCTCAATTAACCAGAACAAGGGTAAACCCGAGTTTACCTCAAAACCACTGTAATTACACTTTTGCCCAACTAATAATCAACTAAAGATGATTTGTTTTTTTCAATATTTATTTTGCTTCTTCTCTTGACTTGATCAAAGGCGATCAAGCTATTGAATGCTCGCTCAAATTATCAACCCTGTCATTAATTTTGATGCCCTTAATTTTAATCTTTGCATCTTATCAGGAAAAAAATTTAATTAACGCAACTTTTGATTGGAAAAAAAAGTAAAGTAAAAAATGTTGAAAAGGCAAACCTTAACCAGTGAAAACAAGGTAACTCAGTAAATTGGTTGTGGTAATTTGATGATGGGTAAGTTTAGCTTATCTAATGAAAACGAAGGCAATGATGAGAAAAAAAAAGTTCAGAAACTATCTGATGAAATGAATAAAGAAAAAGATAAAGGTTAATATTAACTTTGAAAGTTGCGAACAAAAAAAGGTGAAAAATTAGCATTAATTATTCATTGAAGTGTTTTATTTTTGTTGCTCATTTCTTTACCATTTTTTCCCATTAAAATGGACTAAAAGCAAGCAAAATCATCACAATCAGAATCATCCTTAACGGACATTCAGTTGAACATGGCAAATGAGGGAAATGATGCTTTTGTTGCAACAACATCAATCATGTTTACATTGATTTAATTGTGTGATAATGAGAATATTCAGTTGATTGCAATTATCAGTTTCAACTGCTTCTTCCATGTTTCACCTTCTCATCAGCTTCCAACTTGAACAGCTTCAAGGGTAGTCAACAACCAATAGAGAAACAAAAGATTTGAGAAAAGGTGATAATCGACTGAGAATAGGTTTGGCTTGTGATTAAACACCTAAGCTTTTCTTGTAACCTTTTTGGGTGTAAATTGTTTCACATTTAATATGTGGGCTTAAACATGATGATGATAAAGGTATTATTAGGTGAGGCCTTCAATTGATTAAACTTTCCAGAGTAAATTACAAAAGGACAGAAGAGAGAAGAAGAAGAAAAAAGGTAAAATAAAAGATCGACTGTTTAACTTTCTCATCTGAAGACAATTTAATATTAAAAGCTATTTTCAATAATCATTATCAACTGGATCGATAGCAATCAATAGCCCATAAAGAGAGGCAAAATTTTGCAGCCAAATCAATGATGCAAAAAGAAATGAGAATAAATTACATTCAATTTGAATACAAATTTCACTGTTAATCGTTATTTTCAGGAAAATGAGAAAAATTGTAATCGCTTTCAAACCAATATTTAAGTTGAAATGACTATCAAATCCAGTCGAATCAATTTCTCATCAATTCTGGTCAACTTCACTTTTCCTAAAAAAAGTCTCTCGAATTAACATCAACTCGAAAAGCATTTCAAAAACTTTTCAAAATCAATGAACAAAGAAAAAAAAAAGAGTTCGCAAAGTCGATCATGCCCAACCCTTTTCTTCGTTCAATTCCACTCGAATCATGGTCAAGTCAACCATCTTCATGAAATCGTTTGCAACTGAAAAAAAGACAAAAAAACTATTTTCTGTTGATTGCAATTCGAATCATTTTTTTACGAAAAGTGAAAAAGTTTAACTTTTGTTAGGAAATGTAAAGTTACAAATGATCCTATACATTAATAAATATAATAATAATAATGTAATAATAGTAAAGGTGAAATAGTAATGATGATTATCGTTATTATTGTTGTTATCATTATCCAATGATATATTATTCATGAGATAACTTTTTACTCAACCGCGGCTGATTCTCTTTACACACACAAAATATGGTCACTGAACTTTATCATTATCATCTTCATCATCGTCCTCAGGTAACTTATAATCATTCCTTTATTGTACCGCTTTCTATCATCACCTTTTAAATCAAAATTCATTACAAGCATTTAGGATCATGTTAAAGAAGAAGAAAAAGTATCTTCTCCTTCACATTGGAACATTTAAAATTGGAATGCTCAGTGGAAGAGAAGAAGAAAAGAAAAGAAAAAATCACCTCTCAAAAGGAATAAGGTAAACTTATCTCAACTCTGCACCTTACTTGTTCACCTTTATCATGGACCAAGTTTTTTTTTCTTCTTCTTGTCTCTGATTCTCTAAATGATCATTAAAAAGTTCAACACACAACAGTTTTATTACCATTACAATCATCATCATTATCAGTTGTATGATTCCTCATATTTGTGATTATTATTACCTTTTTTGTAGCTATTTTACCTTCTATTTTTTTGCATTATTTAACTTTTCTTTTACCTTTTTCTTGTTTCTGATGGTCTTGACCTTTTCTTTATCGCTGGTCCTCATCGTGTTCCCATTCAGAGAGGCAAAGCTTTCATTTCGCCTTCAACTAGTGGTGTCGGTGGATTAAATATTGGCCTATTGTTGGCCTTCACTCTTAATGATAGTGATAGTGTTAATCATAATTCACAATTATTATGTTTAATGGAACAAGAATGTCTAGTCTATTCAATGAATTGATGAGGGTTGAGGTGGTTTAAGGCGCTTTTCAAGCCTCCACTTTAACTAGATGTTTAAGTGTTTAAAGATGAGTTTGTTCAAGTTTTGGTCAACAGTAATTTGATTAATACTTGCAAACCGATTTGCAATTTATGTTTAAAGATTAATGTTTCTCCATTGAAATTTTTGCATTTGCTGAAAATCGTTCAGTTCTGCTCCAATTGTTATTTCAATTATTTGATTAATTACGTTGCTTGGGTTTAGTTGATTAGCAAAGAATGAATTAAGAATAATTTTTCATTTTTAATTTAGATTAACTTTCGATTTGATTGTATTCTGGTTAATTATGCGTCTCTATTCATGTTTGCATTGTAGATTTTTAGATTTTTTCATTTTCTTTTTCTTAATTAAATGTTTCCAATAGGTCATTAGTTGGTGATTCAGAAATACCACTTCAATTAGGAATAACTGAAAAATAATTTTTTCATTCAAGTCAACTTTTATTCAAATATCAAGAATCAAATATAAGAGTAGAAGCCAAAGAGTAAGAGGAGCTCCTCTTTGGTAGAAGCTGATATACGTGGCGCCGTCTAGTGCCTTGTAAACGAGACGATATTTAAGTATGAAAATGTAAGCAAAAATGAAAAGTTTGGAAGAGACATTTTTTATTCAAATGCTAGATCAAAATTCATTAGACATTAAAATATTTTTCAGTAAAAAAATCATTTCCTGAAATGAAATCAACACTTCAAAAGCAATAAACACCACTTAATACTAACCTTTAAAAGAACCAGAAATGTTCATTATTTCAATGTTCGAATTCATGAATTCATAATTTTCAAATAAAAGTATTGCGAATCAAATGATTGAATAGTTATCAACAAGGCTGGTTGTTAACATATTTAACTTCAATCGTATAATAATTAATCGGAAATCTCTGTTCATTGAAAATCTCATAAATGTTTCTTCTTTTAACCTGAAAATGAGATACAATCAAATCAAGATGTTGATGTAATGTTAAATAAAACAAGAAGAAGATTTATCGAGTTTTCTGTTCACAATGTTCAATGATAAAATCTAATAATCTGAAATGAAATTGAGCATGAATCAAATTTATCATGAATTGAAGCTTCACCCCTCTGACATTAGCCTCAATGTCGATTCAAATTTGGATAAAGCAAGTACCATTTCCATAGCTTTTACCTTTACCTTCTTCCCTTTAACTTAACCAGGAAGAGCACATATCCTGTTCCTTTAATGAGTGCCAAGGTGACAAGTCTTGCAACATGATAAGATTATGTTTTTAAGTGAAACAAATGAATAATATAAATCATAATTCATGAGATGCTGCAAAAGAAAAGACAGTTGACTTTGACTTTGATTAACACTTTTATCATTTCCATTTTGTTTTATGATCCACTTTTGATTGCATTTGACTATCATTCAGCAGATAACTAGATAGATTCAGGTAGATAACTAATTTATTGCCATGCTACTCTTTTCCTGAATTTTTTACTCATTTTCACCTCATCAACGAGCCCACAATGTACAAAACTTGAAACTTTCTTCTCGTTTCAAGTTTGATTGAAATAGATTTATCAATCCCTGCATTTTCCCTGAACCTAGTCATTCCAAGCCATCTGGGTACAAATCTGAGCTACTTAAAGCGTTTAATCTAATTAATCGCCTGCCACTTAACAGTGAACATTGTCAGTGTCAACATTATTCCATAAAAGTGCAAATGAAAAAGTGAAAATGAAGTTACTTGAATACATTCGAGTCAACAAGTACAAAATATTCAAAACAATTTTAACATATATAACCTTTGCCGGTCTAGGTGGAACCAATACTTTGGTTGGAAGTTCACTGCTTGATCTTCAAATTCGTGTTCAACGATCTTTCGATGCAACTTCCAGGCTTGTCCAGGCCCGTTCCATTGGCTATGTTATCGGAGCTTCTTCATGTAAGTTAATCTATTAATATTCATCAATAGATTTTAATCAGTCATTCAGTAGTTTAACCACTTTTCTCGTCCCTTTAAAGGTGGCTTCCTAGGTGAACGTATCAACAACTATCTGGCCCTTTCACTGGCTGATTTGGTTGCCGGCCTTTTCCTCATCATTGCTCCTTGGTTCAAGATACTTGAAGTCATCATTACTTGTATTGTAGCTTCTGGTTTCGCTCAAGGAATTTTGGACATTTGTAAGACTTTTTCCCCAAATTTTTCTTTTTACTTTATGATTACAGTTTCAAATGTTCTCGTCCTTAACAGATTGTAATGTAATCATTTTGCGAATCTGGGGTGTTAAAGGAATCAACTGGCTTCAAGTTTTGCACATGAGCTTTGGTTTTGGCGCTTTAATTACACCCATTTTCACGAGGCCTTTTCTCCTTCCAAATACTGGCGAGTCGAGTGATTCCGAGTTGATAAATGCAACTTCAACTTTTACTGGCAACGAAACCATTTCCTCTTCAAATAATTACATTGGCGGCTATTCACCAGACGAAGTAAAGGTTCAATATTCTTTCCTCATTTTAGGCGGTATTTTGGTCATTGTTTCAATTCCAATTTTTTTCTGTTACCTTTACGAAAGAAAACTGGGAACTGAGCAAGGTAATGAGGAAGACAAGAAAACTGATGCTCATGAAGGTGAAACCGGCAAGATTAAAAAATTTATTGCAACATTTATGGTCGCAATCCTGGCAAACCTCACTTTTGGTTCTGAAGCAGCAATTGGTAAGATTGATGGAAAAAATTATTTCTCGATTTATAATTGTTTCTTTGATTTTAGGTAACTTGTGCACTGCATTTGCCGTCAAGGCTGACCTTAAAATGGAAAAGCAAACTGCCGTTCTTTTGGCCACAGTTTATTGGACAACCTTTTCCTTTTATCGTCTAATTTTCATTCCACTTACCCTGTTGATCAAAGAGAGTCGACTGTTTTATTTCAATTTACTGATTATACTTGCCGGTGTTGTCGCTCTGGTGCCAAATGCTGCCTCCAAAGCCATTTTTGCGTGGATTGCTTTCGTTTTGCTTGGAATTGGCTACTCACCATGCTTCTCAATATCTTTTGCTTCACTGGAAAAATATTTTCACATGTCAAACTCGATCACATCTTTTATTCTGGTTTGTGGTACTTTGGGTGAAACGGTTCACACTGCCGTCCTATCCATTTATATTGACAGGCAGCCCATCATTTTCGTCTACTACATTGGTGTCATGTCACTAGTCTATGTAGCAGTCAGTGTGATATTGCCCTACTATTTGCGGAAAATGTGTTCAAAACGGGTTGAAAATTCGATTGGGAATAAAAGAAATCTTGAAATGGAAAAATATTGATAAATTTTAAAGACGCTAATGGGTTAAAAACACATTTGGAAATTGATGGGTCTTTTTAAATACAGTTGAGCCAATTATTAGAATGTACATTTGTATAAAAAAGTCTGTAAAGTCAATTTAATTGTTAAATGAAACAAAGAATCCCTAAGAAATAGTGAGAAATGAATTCAAATGTAAAATAACGGTTTTTAACAAAAAGAAAGCAAAAAAGTTATAAATAAAAAATCCCTTTTTGACCAATTTAATACCTGACTTGATTTCGAGAGTCAAATATGCTTGATAAGGACGAACGAGATGCTCGCGAAAAGAGTTATTTCATTATTGTGATTCTGGTTCACTTGATTATAAGCTTACTTGGCAGCGCTTCGAGCTTGCAAGTTCAACATTCAACCGCACAATAAAATGGTACAACAATGAAAAAAAAGTGTAAAAATATTCCATCAGCTCGACGGTGAAAATAATGTTGAAAATTTGCAGGCAGATAACCCTCCAATCTCCACCAGGGCGACAATTACATTTGATATTTCAGTGGAAAATAACGATTTCGTTGGAAAGACGAAAACTGTCTGAACTTTCCTCAAACTCGTTATATTTAGAAGTTCTGTGAATATGCTAAGCAAAAAGTAAAGCCTCAATCTCGATAAATTCAAAAAATAACTAGTCGTCAGGATGCAATCCGATGGAAAGTGTTTGGTCGAATTTGTTGAAAATTTCAAAAAATAGAATATTTAATGTTTAATAAAGATTGAAAATAATAAATAATAATAAAATATTAGAATCTTCATTATTTTATTAATATAATAATAATAATTTTTTCATTGGTACATTTTTTGACATACAGTGTTATGACATTAATTCAGGGAAAGATTTTGTTAGCTTTCAATTGCTTATCAAAGCTGCTCTTGAGTATCAAAAAAGGCAGAGTTCACGGATAAATCCACAACGGAATGATTGAGTATTTTGATTGACTTGTTGACAAAAATTGCTAAACTAAGGTTGATAACATTTAAATAATTAAAGTTTCACGTTTCAAGTTCACATTTTCCGTACTTGATAATTCTATTCCTAGCTGATAACTGTCTAACTATGACAAAAAACTAATCTTAATTGCACCGAATAATCAGTTGGTAAGATTTATACAGAGTTTTCCGGTTAATGTTACAAAACTTTGCCCTAGTTGATGCAAAAGTGGAATCTTTTTCAATTTAAAACGCTTGTGTCTTGAGTGTCTGAGTTAATCATATTTAGCATTATCAGATGTTGCATCAAGTCTGTTCAGAATTTTGTCCATCATTTCTTTAACTTGGGCCAATTCGGAATTTTTCGTTGCCATCTTGTTATTTTACACCAAAAATGTCACTCAAGCTAAATTGTCTCACCATGCAGGATGACAATTTATAACCAGTATTTCAATTGATCCAAAATCTAACATAAGCACAGACCAAATGCGAAAAGCAAATAAATCTGAACGAAACAGCTACTCTCGATAAATGAAATAGATCGCCATTTAATTGTCAATTCAATTCACAGCAAAGGTAAAATGTTGAATGTAAATCCTGATAGCTTTGGAAATCTGCGAATCTAAAAAATCGAAGCTGCTTGATATTAACTATTTTTATGCATTTTCACAGCTTACTTATGTGTTGTGATTTCTGGGTGAAATTTTATGACATTGCTGTTAACATTATGATAAACTGATTTTTTATTATGAGAACATGCGTTTAACATTCGTTGCTAACAAGAAGCTAATTTAAACTGGGTTTCAATTTAACATTCATTTGCCAATCAATCCATAAATTGAGAGAAACATTCAAAGTCAAAACTATCGAAATTGTGTCAAATAACAGTTAATTGATTTTTGGATCTTCTGATGTTCATAAATGTAACATCTTGAATCACTCTTACAATTGTTCGATTACATTGAATTATTGATCAAAGACTTGCTAAAAATGACAAAAAGATAAAGAACGTTGTTGCAATGAAATTTTTTTATTCTTAAGCTTGTTGGCCATGAAATATCTGATGGATGTTGAGAGGTACATTGGATTAATTTTCAATGATTAAAATGGGCAAAAATCTATTTATTTCAATTTCTCATAGCTTAATGGTTTAAAGCTTTTTTCATATAAAAATTGTTATTGGACAATAATTTTTCAAGTAATGCTCTCAAAAGAGGAATTAATATTAGTCTTTGGTTGATTTAAAGAAACTACTAATTACTGATTGGAATAACCAGGCCAGATATTTTTGCAATTTTCAATAAACGCGAAATATTCAGAAAATTTACAATACAATTTGCCTTTAAAAAAATATAACTTTGTTTAACAGAATAATCTCTTTACAGTTGAAAGGGGGGAAAAATATATATTTTACAAAATGGTCTGATCACTATTGAGTCGATAAAGTATTGCCTCTAAAAAAAAGTTGACTGACCACTTTTGACTGATGAGCCAACTCATTGACCAGCTTCAGGTTTGACGCGATCTCATAAAATTTTTGGTATATCCAGCCGGTGGTTTGCTTTCTTTATAATTACTCAAAATAGAAACAAGTTTTGGCTCAATATCACCTAAATGAGGTCTAACGCTTGGCTCTTTAGCCCAACAAGCTTCCATGATTGCCCAGCATTCCGAGTCAAATTCTGGCAAACGCTCAGGTCGTACACCTAGAAAATAGAAAAGAAACAAAAAATATTGATTAGAATATAAGAATATGCATGGAAACGCAAATGGATGCTAAAAATTGCTAATCAATAGGTAATTGTACTGCACTAGATTAGATTTATATGATCAAAATGTGATAGAAAGTGAAGCAAAATGAGAAACAAAAGACAATGAATGCGGGAAAAGCGCAAAAAGCTACGTTTCTAATGTTTAAATCAATACAATTTTTACATATCTTGCTAAAAGTCATGGAGAAATAAGGCATCAAAATCTGGTCGTTAACCTGACATTCTCGTGAACGTGATAAAAAAATGATCAATTTAGCGAAACAAACCTAATTGCACATTGACAAAATCAGTTGACTTGAACAATGGTGTCAATTATTAAATGTAATAATTAATGGTTTCATTTAACAGTAATATGAATCAAGGAAATGAATAAGTAAATAAAAGATAATCTCAATCATAGCCAATCTAAATAATAAACATCAATGAAAATTATGATAGGCAATGACAGATAAATGGCCATGTCTGAGACTATGTAAATGGCTTGCTTCACAATTATCTAGTTAAATTGTTAACCAGAAAAGGCAAATAGGTTAATTACCTTTTCTTACACAGCTCCACAGTTGATCTTTATTTTGACACTGCTCAAAAATGTATGGTAGCCGTACGTGTCCAGCACAAATGTACCAAAATAAAATACCAAAAGCATAAACATCAACCGAATTGTCGTATTTACCAGTAAATAATTCAGGTGCCATGTGAATAGGTGTTCCTACAATTGAACCAGACATCATTGCCTCTGGCTTGCAAAATCCAAGGTCAGTGATTTTGGCTCTATTACGTTTATCGAGGAGAACATTTTTCAATTTAATGTCACGATGGACTAAACCTTGGCTGTGAAGAAAACGAATCCCTTGGACAACGTCAATGGCAACCTGAAGTCTACTTAACCAGTCTAAACCGTTTTTTATGGCAGAGTATAAATCTCTTGAGAGTCTATCCATGATGAGAAGCACAGCTGGACTGGATCCACCTCCGTAGGAATGGTCAATGGCAGAGCCACGGATTTGAACAATGCGATTATGTTCGGGAATTGATCGTGTATAATAAAATTCCATGGCTAGGTCATTCCAATGTTTCTCATCTGGAGGTACAACTGATTTAACAGCAACAGGCGAATGACCAGCCCAAGAGTCACATGAATAGACAACACCGTACTGACCTCTACCAATTTCACGACCCAATTCAGGCATGCCATGTAAAATGACATCTCTTAAACTGGTTGATTCTAAAGCACATCGGGCAATCCTTGGAGCGTAGTATTTACGAACACGAACACGTTGCTCTTCTGTTCTTTCTAAGCGACCATAGTGAAGGTTTTCGAGTTGCTTCATTGCCGTGGCAAACTGCGTATGAGACATTCTCAATCTTTCCTTGAATTGGGCACAAATTGATTTAGCCAGTCGAGATTCCGACAGCGAGTCTAAAACATCTGCGGCAACTTTACGCTTCCATTCTTCATTAATTTCCGCCAAATTTCTCCAAGAAAGTGATACAGATACTAATTGTTTCATTTTTTCCCAGAAAGCACGTAATAGACTAGATGTTGTTCGCATGTTTATCTCTACTTGATAAGCAGCATTCAATATTTGTTTCAATGCATTGGAAGCTTGGATGCATTCATTTTTTGCAATAGACGAGGGAAAAAGTGATGTTGAGGATTGTGAATAGCCCTGTACTTGAGATGATGATGATGTCAATGGTAGTTGAGAAGTAGAAGGAAGATGAGGAATGTTGAGCAAATTACAGTGAGCTGGCCAATTTTCCAAGCTTTCCAGACATCTTTCGAGTGTCCCAATATAACTATTTCGAAGGTAATCAACTGATCCAATTAAGTTATCTGCAATAGCAGCATTCAATTTGCTTAAAACAAAATCTTGTACTTGAACCATGGCCAGTTGAACTTCTCGGGGAGATAAACGGATATTAAGATCACTTGATGAGGTGGAAAGTATGAGAGTAGAACTTATTTCCTCCAATGATCCTACCAATACTGCTTCATTATCACCTGGCTCCTGGCTTGACATGTATGGAGAGTTAAGTGATTGGTTATGTGAACATGGACCAGTTGATGAGTATTTATCAATCTCTTCCCCGGATGAATTGAGAAGTTGATCTTGCATTTGAGGTGTTGACACTGAGTTTTGGAAATGTCGCTGTGAATTTGATGGCGAGGTTGAAGGTGATACTAGAGATGATGAAGAAGATAAGGGAGATGATGACAATTTATTTGATTTGACTCCTGATGAAACAACCACACGATCCATTTCACTAAAACCGTTAAATTTACATCGATACTTGGCAGCTTCAGCAATTAATTCGTCTCTCATTGAATGGATGGTTAATGAGATGAGATTTTTTATCTCCTCTTGCTTTTTATTGGCGATAGACATTAAAGAATCAAATAATTGTTGCTCCTTTTGTTTGGCGTAAGCAATCCTTTTAGGGGTAATCATCATGTCCCGTGTCATGTCAAAAGCAGTCAAAATAAACATTCGTAAACATCGGTTGTGAGCCTCATTGAGTAAATTAGCAGCTTCAACAATGTGATTGATTTCAGTGCTCGCACTGATTCTTTGGTCAATCTGATCATTCAGCTGAATATCTGTCAATTGTTCTTTGGTTTGAAACCATAAACATTTGTTTTTAACCCGATAAACATGCAAACAGCAATTTACAATAGCCACGAGGCATTTAGAAAAGGAAAAAAACGAAAGTAGAAAAAGAGAAATGAAAATAAAGCTGAAGGATAAAAGTTCAAATGCAACAAAGAAATTAAAATTGTCGGTAAATTGATACATGTTTAGCTTTACATCTTTTTATCTCAACACTTTGCTTCAATCAGATTGTAAACGAGCAAATTAGCTAAACAAAATCCTGATTGTCATGTTGACAAAATATTTTCTGATGAAAACTCGATAATATCAATGAGTAATAACTGGTTACAACTGAATTAGAGAGAAGCAAAAAAGTAAGAGAGAAAAAAAATGAGAAAAGTTGAAAAATAAAATTTAATTACCTTTTGAGAAATATCCACTTCTGCCAATCTCTTGGAGATTATTTCTAGTATTGGTGAGTATTCTTTTTAATTGTCGTTTATACTCGGCCAGATCAGAGCTCTCGCAATGAAGACTACGAGTCATGGCTTGAGCTAGAACGTTAATTAAAAAAATGAAGTGTATTAAACGGATTCACTTGTTGCTCATCACTGACTTGTAAACAAACCGTTACTGGTTGCTTCATTCCTACAGCCATCTACTAACAGCATAATTAATCAAAACTGGAATCATTGAGGGGAGGAGATTTCAACCAATTAAAACCAGATGGACAAAACTTTCAACTTGAACTGGTTTACAGCAAGTTGTAGTTGGAAGCTTTTAATTTAATTTTCATATTTTGACTCAAGTTTAATTAAAATTTCCAACATTATCTATCAGAAGTGTGGTTTAATGTTACCTCAATATTTCAATTGTTCATTGATTCAATGAAAGATTATATTTCTTGTTTGTTTCTGAAAAAACTCGCCTAGATTTTACTGCAAATGTAAATGTAAAGGGTGTAACGCGTAAAAAGTGAAGATTATTTTAGTTTGATAAGAATGACAATGATAGGAATGTTGCCGGAAAGAGAAGAAGACACAAACTGGACATTCTTATCAGTGTCTTCTCCATCTTAATTCTTATCAAATTGAAATAATCTTCACTTTTTACGCGTTACACCCTTTATTTTGTCTGTTTACCACTTGCAAGTTGTTTAACCGGTTGATTATGGGCAATCATATCATTGGATGGTTACATTTACTGTATTAATTAGTAGTGTTTCATTAAATTGATGAATCGGTTCAATCAATTTTTTACCTATCCGCTAAATTCAGAAATGTTCATGATGATCAATTTGTTGATCATTTTTCGTTGGTTTCTTTTGTTTCTATCTGTGATTTGTGTAAATGGGTTTTACAACATTTACGACGGTGAATGTTGTATGGGACAATTACGAATGAGTATTTTGATGTAATGCAATTATTTAATATCTGAAATCATCATGTTAACCAAAAGAGTAGTGTAGGGTTGATCATTATTGAATTTAGTCAAAATTATTTTGATAAACCCGATTTTGAAATTGATAAATCGATGATCGACTAATCTAATGTAGGAAATTTACTCGTAGTAAAACTGTTGTAGGAAATTGTTTTCTCCATTTATGATTCATCCGTTTGACTCGCTTATTCAATGGTGTCAGTTTCATTCTGGAATTTGCAGATCATTCAACTTGATTTGTGTGATTTAAGGCTTAAGTTTACACTTATTATTTTGGATAGGATTCGACGCAATTCTGACAAACACGGTTAAAGCTATTGGCACCAACTTTAAAATCCTTCAAATAAAATATTGAGATACAATTATTCGAGCTTTATGTAAATTTTCAGAATGCCACCTATTTGAAATACAGGGGAAAAATTTTGCAGACCACTTTGATGATTGCTCTTTAGAGAGATGAGTAATAAGGACTTTATGGGAAAATTAAGGGTAAAGAAGACATATTTTATTCATGAACGAAGTGTGTTTTACAGATTTCTCGGTGTCTCCATATCCTCTATTTGCGCGGATTCAGTTGTGGACCCTGGTAAAAGGCAAAAAGGCAAAAAATGGCTAAACAAGCAAAATTGGGCAAAATATTATCCTGTGTTAACAACTGACAACTTTTTGCCGGTGAATTTAATATCCTTAGGTATTTAAAGTTAATTTAATCATTATTATTATGGTAAAAGTAAAATTTTGAATCAGTTTAGTCACATACTCCGGTTAAATAAATTGATTTATTTACTTAAATTTGTGATATTTTTAATATTTGGCTTTATTCAAATTAAATTGATTTAATATATTGGTATTTATTATATTGGTATTTATTACATTGGTTTTTATTACATTCAGAAAAAATAAGAAAATATGGCTAAAAAAGTGAGTGAAATAGGCAAAAAATGTTCTTAATTACTAATTGCACCATTCTTTTAGGTAACTTTCAATCAAATCGAATGGCCAGTTGAGGTTATCCATTCAGCAAAGATTGGCGGTAAAATTTATTACAAGGTTAGATCTGAGTGGTATTCCGAAACCAATCAGCAAGTTGTTTATGAAGATGACGGTCATCCACCTCCAATCACGGAGAGAGATCCCGAAACTTTCACCATTGATGAGCTTAAGAAGCAAACATTAAAACTTCGTGCCAAGAAACGAGGCGAAGTCACTCATCAGTGTCCTTGGTGTTTCAGAACATTTCCAATGGGCCGAATTGACTTAACTAAGCGTCATTTGAATGATGATGCAAGGCGACGAACTGGTTGTAATACCAGGAAAGTCGGCGACAATGAGGATTGCTCATTACCTGCAACTCGTCCTCTTATTATATTTAAAAATAAATAGATTCAAATTTGAACTTAAGTTGAAATGTTAATAAAATGTTGATGGTAAAAATTTTTATTTAGAATCTTTTGATATGTTAGATGAAATACATAGATAATAATGTAAATAGATTCAATAAAGATTGGCAACGAAAATGACCAGTTAAGGCTAAAAATCTAAGGAGGAGGTAGGAGGAGATTTTTCGGATTTGACTTTTTATTCAACAGTACTTTGCAGAAGTAGTAAAAAATACATAGATAATATGAAAAAATGTGTTTTAATAAAGATTGGCAGTAAAAATGTTGAGTTAAGGCTAAAGATTTAGGGAGGAGGTAGGTAGGAGATTTTTAAGATTTGATTTTGCATTCAACAATATAAGAATGATATGTTTTTAAAGTTAATTAAAACATAGATTGGGTATAGAATAGAATGTAGAACCAAGAATTGTGATTGCAAACGAAGTGACCTCAATGGCATAATGCAAACTCGATAGAAACTTTTTTCTCGTCTGTGATTTATATCGAGTTTAGTGAAAACTCTTGACAATTGAAACAAATAAAATAAGTAGAATCAGAATAGAGAGAGCTGCAACGTTTGTGGAACCATTTCGCACATGAAAAACTCAGATTAGCTTCGGCTTTTTGGTGCTGACTGTAAATGCATATTGTTTCATCACACTTTGAATATGTAACATTGTGAGTTAAGTTGTCAATAATTTCTGTAAAACAGCTTCTTTTCTCAATATTAAAATTTAACTTTTCCACATCTTTGATCATTTAGAGCTACATACTTCCGACCTATCGTTGGAGCCACATACCTCTGGCTAGTCATTAGAACACCTTGCCTCTCACCGTACGAGCCACTTCTGATATTTTGCTACCGCTTGATGATTTTCAATTCACCTCTGTAACCGTTGTTTGATGCTTATTAGTTCAATGTAGAACCTTTTTCATTGAGAGTCTATATATAAAAATGTCTATCATGCAAGAGCTATTGGAAGTGAAATTAATAATTGGTGCTCTTGGGGATATACCACAACCGGAAAGAAGGAACATTAATCGATTCCACAATCGGGTTGAACGCATGGTTCAAGATTTGGACGATGTTGAAGTGGACTTGGATGAAATTCCGTATGAACCTGCCCCATCCCCGGTTTCAATACCTTCACTATCTTCATCATCATCGCTACCCTCACTAGCCTCCATTGACTCTATATTGTCAACTGTTGGTGCAAACTCAAGAATTGAAAACACATGTGCCAGAATTCAAAAGGTTTGCAATAGGAATGCTAACAATAGCGCTGCGAATGGCCAGGAAATAAACTCAGTAGTTGACATTCTTGGACAGATAGAAAATCGTCAACATGCCCAACATTTGCGGGTAGTCGAGTTTTTAGCTGAAATTAATGTCAGCTTGAATGATACGATTACGCAAGAAGGTAAAACTACGCGAAACGCTCTGCAAACCTTTGATAGAGCTAACAATTATTTTATAAATGAAATCAATGATTGGCTGGGCACGACAATCGTTAAAAAGTTATGTATCTTTCAATGCTTTATTAATAAAGATTTGTTCTATTTTGATAAAATTGTGATTCTTTTTCTTTCAATCGTGATCTGCAAAAAGTTTACAAAAGTTTGCAAAAGATTGGTTCTCTTATCTTGGTAACTCTTCAAAAACAATTAGAATCAATTAAGACATAGAAGAAAGAAACTAATTTATTCTAATTGTTTTAGAAGAGTTACCAAGATAAGAGAAATGATGAGGTATTGCATACATGCAAAGGTCAAATTGCATTTAGTGTTAGAAAGATCTGCGTGCGAAAGGTTTGCGTGTGAAAAGATTGACTAGAAAAGATGATAAAAAATAATGGTCGGAAAAATGGTCTGAAAATCTGGTTCGAATGATGCTTCGGAAGTATGTGGCTGTAAAGAGTGGTCGCAAGTACAGGAAGGGGCTGTAACTTCTCTTTTTACTACTAATGCAATTTCAAGTTTTACTTAAGTGAGTGTTTTATTTTTCACCTTTCTCCTCTATTTATACATAGTAACTGGATCTAACTAAATACGATTTGGTTAGCTATGAAAAATATATTTATGAGCCAATTGGCTCATAAACATCAGTCTTGGTCATAAATTGTTATTCTGATCTGCCACTTTTGTTCAAAAAAGACATCGTTGACTTGAAACAAATACACAAACTTTTAGTAAAAAACGATCCTCTAAATGCGGATCTAGTTTAAGTCGTAATGAATAGTGTAATAAGCATCGCGGAGTTACTGTTTGGTCAGCCGGAAAGATACTGTTTTAGATAGTAAATCAAAAGCTGGAGAGTCTGAATTCGAAAATCTAAAGAAAATTGCTTTGATTTCGCACGCTTTAGCTGATCTCAAATTTTCCCATATTAATCGGAAATATATTATGGCAACTAACATGCAGAGACAGCAAAACGGGTATGATTGTGGCGTTCATGTTTGTTTCATGGGAGCCAGCATAGTTCTTTCAAAAGATCCACTTACAGTAGAGACTCATTCAGTTGACACACGCACGCTTTAATTGGATTTTACTGTGAGCCTTGCAGTGACAGAATTGGAATTGGAGTCGATGAGTTCTTACTCGAATGTTGCACTTGCGTTATTGAAGCAACTGGTATCACAAAATTTAAAGTTAAAGTATATTGCATGTGTGCGATTTGCAAGTTATTTCAAATACTAAACTATTTCGACTTATTTCGCGATATTTCAATTACATTGTTCAAACCCACTCCCATCACGACCTCCCATATCTATCACGCTTAATGAATATTCTTTTCTATAATTGTAATTACATTGAAAATCAAAATTTTATTAAACTTTTAAAGTTTTTAATTGACAAATACAATTCAATGAGATCATAAGACGAGTCAAAGATCACTCGTTTCATTACAAGCGACAGCTCGTCTTCTATCACCATTCTTATGCTCTACAGATAATTCTTTACGTCCTATCGGAATTTTCTTCTCACAGCAGGGACATTGATTTGTGATTTTTCCACGCTTCTTGGCCCCAAACGCATAAGTTTACGCTCTAAGTTCTTCAATTGTGTGCGTTTCTGGGTCACTATCAATAATTTCAACACGAGAGGGCGTGCACCAGCTAGTTAAAGTCCTTAATTTCGGACATCGTTTCTGCAGCCTTATGAGGTCTTGCATTATCGTTAACAATAGAAAATAGCTTTTCCGAAGTTGGTTCTCTTGATGGTCGATGTTTACAAAGGTTGCTTTCAATGAAAACACTGCACACATGATCTGAACAATCGTAATCTTAGAACAGTTCGCTTATTATTTGTGTGATTGAATTAGCAGAAACTTTTGAAGCCAAGGTTAACCAGATAATGAGTGAGAAGAATGGACACAAGAAGCTGCTTTTTGGGTTTGCTCCTGTAAAACAAGTTATCAATGGATAAGTTGATCCTTCAGGCGATTTCGATGAAACTTGCTAGCCAAAGGAAGAAAAAGTGTTTACCAAATGCCTTCATGTCCAGGAATTGACTTACTTGACCAATTCTTGCACTTGCAAGCTATTCAAGATGGCAGGAGTTGACATGAAAATTTACAGCTGTATCACTTTCTTACTATGTTCATAAAACTCTAGGTTACCGCCATCAGCATTACCAGTATTGTCCTGATGGATGTGAACACAATTCTTTTCAGAGTCGAAGTTCTTTATTACGTATAAAACAAAAGAATATAGCATAAAGCCAAACGAATGGCAAAAATGAAACATGCAATGTTTAAATACAGTTTAAATAACAATTTAAACCGTTTCAATCCTTCAGGAGCAATGCTTATTTGAAACTTTCTGTGTGCGAAGTTAAAATAAAGACGAGAGATGGCGCTATAAAAACAGAATTTCTACAGAATTTTTATTGTTAAAAACTTATTCCGGTAAGGTCCTAGTTATGGGGACACTGGCGTGGCTTCAATAGGCATTTAAATTTTCCTCCAATCTGGTTGAATCTTGGTTTCCTGGTAACATTTAGGTAACCAGTACAGTCTTCACTCAAGAAACAAAAGTAAGTATTTGGTTGAGTTGGTTTTGGAGGAACTAGCTCTAGGTGCTCAGCAAAACCAAGTCCTGTAATATCACAATTATCAAAAGCTGTGATTTTGGTCACTAAATTGAAGCTATTTAAATTACTGAAAAAATTTGCATCCACCATGATTGAAATCAAGTGAAAAATTAACCCGCCAATGTGCCATTTTCTTTACCAGGTTTACCAGGATTCTACAGTGATTTTCATTCTTCTCATCTTTCTCATCACTTCATCTTCAAAATAGTGAAAATTAAATAATTTAACCTTTCAATTGTGTTCATTGTGTTCAGTGTTTTAAATTTACATCATAATTATTAAATTATCAGCATCAACTTACCAGGAAACCAAGATTCAACCAGATTGGAGGAAAATTTAAATGCCTATTGAAGCCACGCCAGTGTCCCCATAACTAGGACCTTACCCTTATTCCTTTAATATTTTCATGCTAAAGCCGTAAACTTCTTTCATTATAAGTTAAAATCCATTTTTGCAATAAAATGAATATTTGTTTGTTTCGTCGTTGTTTCCATTATCGTTAGATGGCGTACACATTCAAAACTACCCCACTTTTGTCATTCGGAACAAGCTCACCATTGCTACATGCTTAATCGATCCGGACCTATTTTTAATTAGATCGCTATCAGATTTAGTATTAAGGTGCATCCGCCAAAGATGCGAAAGCAACATGCTACAAAGTACTACATTGGAAATATATTTGCTTGGTTTAAGCTTACCTATTGACACCTTAACCCATTAAACCCATAAATGATTTAAGTGCGTTACATTGGATTTAAACAATATTATTCAACATTTGCTTTAATCTCAAAGGTCTTTTCATTTACAATTAACAAATTTTCTTTTCTTACAATCAATTGATTTTTGTTGCTTGTAATATTTACATTAAATAAACCAACTTAACATAATATGTGTACATTTTCGTTATCACAGAAATGCTTAAAGTATGATGATTCGCATTAATGGTCAATTCATAAGTGGGCAATGCGAAATGAAATGATTGTATCAACATATGACAATAATAGTAAATCAGGCTAAAAGGTAAAGTAACGAAAAGAGAAGAATTTCTTTCTTGTCTTTCTCTTTACTCAGCGCAGTTCTCGAGTTTATAAACACTGAGTAAGGTTCGATTTTGCACGATTTGTATTCCTTGAATTGATTTCCTGGCAGCGTCAACAGGCAGCGCAGTTTATGCCATCATATTTAATGCGCCATTTTCACGTTTCGACAGTCAATCAATTTAATGATCAATGTGCTTCATGCAAACAGATCGATAGTAAATGCGACTTTTCATGTTGACCTGCATCAACAGTAAAAGGCATGAGTATTTGATAGCGTCTTTACTGTTGCCACGGATTTAAAGACTCAACCAAATTGTTAATTGTTTATCACTTAGAATGTGCATCTCTAGATTGGACTGAAAAACTTAAACGGTAGACTCGAACTTTGGACTTCCACCAATCAAATCAACTCGAGTTCCTTTGGCCATTTCCTTTTTATATTCTAACGTGCTACTTTTCCTTTCAAGTGTGCTTTGAGAAGATGCATTTCTAACGATTGATATTGGCTCCATAGTTATGCATTTGTCCATTCCAAATTTATCTGAAAAAATTTGAAAAAAAAGTAAGTCAAAAGTATCGCAATTGGAGTAAAATATTATAGCTTGAAGCTTAAAGTATTAGCGCTAAGTTATGCACAAAAAGGTCAATCTTTACCATAGGATGAAATAAACTTGTCTTCGTCTTTACTTTTGTCACAGTCAAAGTTATTGTTCGGTGTACAGTAGCCAATGGAAGGTATAATATCAGGCGGACCTTTACTCGCTTCAACTGAATTAAACTGATTTGCTCGTTGCTCTTGTTGTTGAACTGTTGTGGTTGTTAAAAGCATTTCATCGCAACACTCGTCATCACAACAGCAAACCTCTTCACCCTCATCAAACATGGTTCCACCTGCAGGGCCAACCTGTGAATTGTCGAGATCAGAGCGCGTCAATCCGATGACATGCCGATGGGTACGACGAACTCTAATGATGGCAATGATTCCAAGAGAAACGAGTATCAGTGTGACTACAATTATGCCCAAAAGTAAAGCCATCAACATGGGTTTCCCAGTAAAAATGTTGCGGCCGTTTACTGTCAACAAATTTGATCGTCCATTGCCAATCAACTTTTGAGCAGGCTGTGAAGTCTCACCAGATAACCACATAACTTGACTTGAGCCACGCGAGTGAAGTGAAAAACATTTGATTCGATAACTTGTTTCGGGCGTAAGGTTATTGATTAAAAATTTGATCTCATTATTGTGCATCAAATTGATTTCTGTTCATAGATGAGAAGAAAAATTAGAAATAGAATAGCATTGAAAAAGTACGAATTCAATGATTCGATTATCAAGAAAAACAATTATGAATGAACATTAGAAAAGGCAAACGAAAGAAAGAAAAAGTGGAAAAACTTTTTCTGCAAGCCTTGAGACTTTTTAAGTTTGTAGGGGTTAAATAATGCCTCCATTTGTGTTATTAAAAACTTTCTATGGCAGTTTTCAAGAAAATCAAACTTCAAGTTGAAACTTCGATTGCCTTTCTTACAAGTGTGGAACCGGATCAAACTCATTTTTCTGATGCAAATTTTGATAGTCAACCAAACGTACTTTTTTGTCAAACAAAATTTTCTATTGCTGGACAACGACTGCCTTAAATGCCTCTTCGAGTTAAAAGAGCAGAAACGTATACATGCATTACAAATGGTTGTTAAATATCGACGATAGAACACTTTTTTGCAATTTATCTACAGTTTTTGCGATATTAAGCATCGACTTTGAAAAGTTTTGATCCTCGGTTTCTCGGGAACTGTCAATCAGAGAATTTTTGATTGCATAAATGAACTTCCATATTCCTACAAACCCACTAAGTCTCAACTCGAAAGTCAAAGTTTCTAACATTCCTTTTGAGAATCGGATTCATCAGATATCTATTCATAATTGTATGCCTTTGTGGTAAACTTACCATATGAGTGCACTTGATAGGGCACATTTAACGGTTTGGACACATTAGCGATAGGATATGGTTCGTTTTTGCGGAAAACTTGGCAAGTGAAAAAAGAGGCTGGATAAATGAATAGACCACGAGATGGGTTGTAATTGTCTTCTCCTTGTTTAACCTCTTCTTGAGTATAATTGACTCGAACATCAGGTAAGCAATGGACCATAAGAGATTCGTCACTTTGATTGGCAATTCGACATCGAAAGGATAAATTTGGTGGATCTGGAGAAAAAGAGAATCCAAAATTGGCTCAATTTCAATGTTAATGAAAAAACTTATTTCTCGCAAATCGCACAACGATTAAGCCAAATTACTCGGTCAACAAGTCTTGTATTGAATGACAACCTTACAGGTTTAACCATAATGCATGGTCATTATAACCGTCATTAGTTTGATTGGTTTTCATCGAGACTCGTGAAAACAATAGATTGGTCCTTTAAGTCAATTAGGTTTACCTTGTTTGGCTCACTGTAAGCCCATCATTTAGTTAACGACAACAGTGTCGACTTAACACCTTAATCATTTGCTGTTTGGTAATTAAGATTTACTCTGATTTCGTTGAACTCACTCAACTGAACAATCTCAAGTTTTGTGGTGAGAAAAAAAGTGTTTCAATTGTAAGGGATCGACACTACTTTTTGCCTCTCTTAATTTACAGTTTGTAATTCAATGTCAACCCCCATTAGTTTAATATCACATGTTTAGCTTTTCTTCCTTTTCCTCTTTACTTAATATAAATACTGGTCAATTTGACCAACAGATTAGATTATGTTTTTCTCTCTCTCTCTCTTTAAAACTGTGATCAACAAATTGTTAATTGATTGAAGAGGGTATTCTCTCAATACTGTGCTCATCATAATCAACTTAATTTACTTAAAAATAAGTCTAATTACTTATTACCTGTGCTCTTGTGTTAAAGTTTGATTTACTGGTGACTTAGACACCTCAACTGAAATAAAATAATTTAACCTCAAATTGATTAACAACGTTGATTATACTTAAAGTTATTGAGAAACTGATCTCAGTTGTAAGTCTCTATTCCTCATCCCTGAAGAGACCTTACAAATGGCGAGGATGCTACTCTGAAATCGAAACAGTTAATTGTGTACCATTATCGTGTTTTACTGAAATTGAAGAGAGTTTCTCTCAAAACCTAGTGAAGATTAATCAACAAAATTACTAAACAAAAGCTGAATCTTCACCGTTAAACCTTGAGGAGAGTATTCTCTCATAAATAAAGATTTGTCATTAACACAATCAACTCGTTCGTCAGAATCTTACGATTAAACCTAACCAACATCAGACCTCGATAACTAGTTCCTGCTTTTTCAAATTTAGTATCAATATTGTTCTTCAAATCGTCATTTCGTTGAATTGAAGAGCGTATGCTCTCAAATGTGATAAAGCTGATCAACTATAAATCTGGTTCTGTTGTAAATTGGGTTCAACATTAAGTTCTGTTATAACCTTTATTTAATTTTGGTACAACATTGAAAACTAAGCAACTATATTCATTCCTGTGCACATCTTGAAACAATCGAGGCTTCCATCATTGATCAAACTAATTTAGATTCGCTTTGGTCATTTTCTCAGTTTCCTACTCTTGAAGATAGCGTTGAAGATACATCAATAGTATCAATCAAACCAAATATGGCAATTGTAAAAGATTACTTATCATCAGAAACTGTTAAAAGAGAAACAGCACAAGTTCTCGGTCTCAACATGCCACCATCAATGAAGATAAACTATGTAACTGGTCAAGTCAAACAAGCATTGAGAACAAATGCCATTTATCATAAATCAATTAATACAGTTGGTGAATGGAACCTAGAACTTGTATTTGATAAAAAATGGCTAGAAACACCTGAAAGTATAAAACGTTTACGAAACTATAAAATTACTGAAGATAATATAGTAAATCTAGTTTTGTCTGAAATTGATGATGATATTGATTTAGATGAAGAAACATTGTTTGAAATGGGTTTTACAGCAGCTCAAGTATCTCGATTCAGACAAATGGCTCAAAAAGAAGCAAACAAAGACGAAGAAACATTTGGACCTCAGTCATTATGCTTTAATCGCTTACCAGATAAAAACCAAGATAAAAGCAAAGTAACCTTTGAGCCTAATAAACCTTCGACAAGTTATGAATACGAGAAACCACCGCAAGAAGCTATTTTAGCGCAAGATAAATTTATTGAAATGAATAAAGACAGAATAATCCAACCATTTGATGAAAGATGTGAGACGATTCTAGCATATTTAGATCGTTTCGTTAATTTGATGTTTGATGTTTATGAATTATCAGAAGACATTGCAATTAAACTACTAAAAACCAGAGTCTCTGCGGACGTTTACCAGCTAATCAAGAATATTGAATCAAGATGTCACAATTTAACCTTGAAACAACTGATTACAGAAATAAGAAAAAGTTATATTGGGCAACCAGAACTCATTGCCGCTAAAAATCGTTTGTTTTATCAAAAATTTCAAATCGGAATGGACCCTCAATCATACGTTAAAGCAATTACAGACGCTTACAAAACAGTTATCCCATTTTCAAAAGACATTCATATTGCTTATTGGTTATTAACCTTGTTACCTGAGAGACTCGTATTTAACGCTATTCACGAGCAAATAATTGATTCAACTGAAAAGGTTTTAACGTTACTAATTACTTATGTTAATAGGATATTGACTGACAATATAAGAAGGAATGAAAGAAGATCAGAGCCTAGAATTGCTCAGTCTAATCAAAATTATTACAGTCAACCAAATAATTATCAACAAACAAACAACAATCAACAGCAATATCCTCAACAACAAAACAACTATCAAAATAGTAATCAAACAAGTAACAATAATCAATCTCCTAGATACACTAGAGGAGGTTACAACAACAGAAGAGCGAACAATCGTGGATACAGAAACAATTATAACCGTCGAGATAGACCTCCACGTTATGAAGATGCAATTCAATCATCATCTAATGCTAATCAAAACCAAAATACAAGTTCAAACGTAACTAATACGAACCAAAATTCATCAAATGCAGCAACTCCTTGTTTGATTTGTTACGCCCCTGGTCATGTTGCTGCAAATTGTCCTCAAAACAATAATACAAATAACAATACGGTTAATCAAGCAAATTATTTACATGTTTTAGCTACGGCTTCAAGTGAAAAGAAGAATAATGTCCCTGAAATCAAAATTTTAGTAGAAGAAACTGATTTATCAATTAACGGTTTATTTGATACGGGTGCAAATGCTACAGTTATTAAGACTGAAGTTGCAGAAAAACTTGGTTTAAGAATCTACAAATTCAGAGAAAGCTTCATGGGATTTGCAGTAACAACAACGAAAGCTGCTGGTGTAACTCAAGTAATTTTCAAAACGGTTGAACCGTTCTATCAAAATGCACTAAGAGTTTATGTATTTGACAATTTACCTTATGATATCATTTTGGGATCTAACTTCTCATATTGGTGTGATGCGGGTGCAACAATTGTTAATCATGAACGCTGGTCAATTTTTCAACATGAAGGAACATTTTTTCCTCTCAAATTAGCAATCAAGATTCCATCAAAAGTCAGTTTTGATTATGTTTTCACTGAGTATTTTCCAAAAATATTTGGTCCTGAAGTTCCAAGTGAACCAGAAAAAACACCAGAAAAACCAATTAAGAAAAGAAATCGAAGGAAAAATAAAAAAGTGGATGATAATTCAGCAACTAATCCAGATTTCGCAGTAAATTCTTATAACATACTCAACATTGAAAAAACTGAAAATGAAAAGTATGAAAAAACTTTCATGAAGATGAAAATCGATAAAAGAAAAGAAGAGTTTCCTTCGCAAATTGACAACGTAATGCAAACGTTGAATTGTGGGGTCGATCCAAGACTTAATTATGAACAAAAAATAAGATTGCATAATTTTTTCAAAGTCTATTCGGACGTGTTTTCGAAGTCAAAATACGATATTGGAAAAATTCCTGCTGAAAAAGTTGGAATTAAAATTGATTTGGGAATGAATCCAATACCTCAATGCAAACCATATCGACTGGGACCTGAAAAAAGGGAAATTTTAGACAATATGATAAAAGAGCTGATTGAAAATGATATTGTTGAACCATCAACATCACGAGGTGGTTCACCTGCCTTTTTAGTTCCAAAACCTACTCCAGGTACTTACAGATTTGTCACATCATTTCAAGAACTAAATGCTTTAATGCGAACCAGAAATTATCCAATGCCAAACATTGAAGATTTTATACAAGCACTTGCTGGTTACAATTACTTTATCACTATTGACTTTGCTCAAGGATACCATCAAATTGAATTAGCTCCTGAAGAGCGAGAAAAGGTTGCCTTTGTCACTGAAACAGGCAAATACCAATACATAAGGCTACCAATGGGCTTAGCAGACAGTCCAGCATATTTTCAACAATTTGTCAACAAAATCTTCGGTAAACTATTATATAAATGTTGTCTAGCATACATTGACGACGTAATCATTTTTGGAAAGACATTTGATGAACTTTTGATGAATGCGACTCAAACCTTTAACAAAGTTAGAGAAGTCGGACTTAAAATTCAGCCTGATAAATGCAAGTGGGGGCATGAAGAAGTAAAATTCCTAGGACATATTATATCTGGTAAATCTATTAAACCAGATCCATCGAAAATTGAAAGATTGAAACAATTTAGTCCACCTAAAGATTTAAAATCACTGCAAAGTCAACTCGGATTATTCAACTATTTGTCGAAATTTATACCAAATTATTCAACTTTAGCTTCAAACTTATTTGAATTATGTAGTCGCAAGAAAAAATTTAAATGGACGTCAATACATCAACAAAACTGGGAATTAATTAAATCAATACTTATCAGAGATTGCGAACTCTGTCAATTTGACCCACTCAAAGAGCATCAACTTGAAGTTGACGCATCATCGATTGCTGTGGGAGGAATGTTAACACAAAAAGAAGAAGATAACTGGCGCCCAGTTGCTTATTTCGGTCAAAAATTAGCTAAACATCAGTTAGCATATACAATCACAGAAAAAGAATGCCTTGCTGTTATTGTAGGAGTACTTAAATATGGTCATTACTTACTTGGTAGACCTTTCACAATTATATCCGATCATTGTGCACTTTGTTCACTGAAGAAAATCAACTTTAAATGCGCTCGATTACACAGATGGGCAACAATTTTATCACAATA